CCTGAAGTGGCTCCTCTTCCACATGTTGGTGTGCAAGAGCACGGATTGTATCCTCGTCCTCCGACTCCTCGCCTGCTTCAGCCGCTCGGTCGGCTTCATCAAGGGCATCCAGTGTAAGGGCCATGGGTGCTTCTTGCTCCGCTATATCCACGAGCGAGAGTTTGCTCGAGACTACGCTGCGAATCGAGCTCTTCCCGGGGCCGTTGCGAGACAAGAAGGACGGGAATCGTTCGGCATTGCTGGCCTCGGAGAGATCGAAGTTGTCCATGATACCGATGCCGCTGACGCTGGGCACGCCCAGGGAGCTTGCCTTGCTCACGGACCTGTATCGTGTCGAGGCATTCGAGATGGAGTTCGTCGGACTCATGACATAGGCTGCGGGCGAGTATCCGCCGTGCCGTGCAGCACTGTTGGTACCGACGATGGAGTTCTGCCGACTGAGTGCCGCTAGTTGGGACTGTAATGTCTGTAGGGCAGAGGTTTCGTTCTCGGGTTCGGTCCTTCCACTGCTCGCTCGTAGTATGGACGAACGTCGACTGTCGCTTCGTTTGAGCTCGTCGTGTGCCTGTCGAATCGCGTCGTCGATGGAGCTCGTCGAAGTGAACTGCTCGGCAGTAGCCTCGAGTGTGGCAACGCTTCCTGAGCAGGAACCGGCACGCTGGTTGGGGTTGGGAGATAGGTGAAAGTTAGCGGCACCGGCACTGGCACTGGATACGGTCCGGACACTCGGAGTTCGAGAGACAGGCTGTGATTTAGATGGTAGAGGTCTGGGTTTGGGTCGTACTAGTGGTGCTGGAGTAGAAGAAGAGGAGGAGACAGTTTGGGCGACATGTTGTAATGTTTGGACTGAAATGTCAACATTCGCATCGGTTGTTGGAGAATTAGAGGACCGTGACAGGGGAGACCCGGAGGTGGCTTGACGGTTGTGGTGGTGCAATGCAAGATTGCTAGTCGAGCTATGTGGCGCAAGTTGTGGGTTTTCTTCTTGTTGGTTTTGAGTTTCGCGTCGATCCCTCAATGACACGATTTTTTCTTCTTCCGCTCCCGTCGAAAAGGGAGAAGGCGGAGAACTTCGGGAAGATGTTGGAAATGACGGTTGATGATGATTTCGTTGGCGATTGTCGTGTTCGTGAACATTTTCAGCTTGGACTGGCTCGTATCCCTTTCCAGCTGCATGTAAGTGCTGCTCCAGCGAGTGGACCAGGGTGCCGACGATGCTGCCAGCTGCTGTGGGCCTCCTCGCTGTCCCGGATGTCGGTCGCGATGACAGCATTCCCGGCGCTGTTACGGAAGTGTTTCTGCCCATGCCAGTGGCCGTGCTCCTTCTAGTAGCGATGCTGGTCTGTGCAGCAGGGTTTGCATCGTGTTCCTCTTGCGATTCGAATTTGTAGTCGTCGTCGCTGTCGTCGGGATAGGACAGGTCACTTCCGACCATGGATAGAGGTGTAAAGGCATATTCGGATAAGGACAGGAAGGCCGATGGCGACGAGAAGGTAGCGGAAGCAGACACCGAGACTGGAGAGGCCGTTGATGCGCTGCCTGCTCTGGTGTCGTCATGCCCTTCTTGGGTCAGAGCGTTGTCGTAAGTGCCCGCGTCCACCATTGCATTTGCGTGTTAGTCTCAGTCCAATTCCGATGCCTTGGTTCAGCTCGGCCGCAACCTCCAGTCTCTCTGTGGGCGAGTCCTGTGTCGAGTTTGAGGCGCATTGGCAAGTTTTGTGCGTGTTGTTGTAAAGAGAAAGCGAAGAGAAGGAGACCGCGACTGGTATTACACTTTATTTGGACTTTTGGTGGAGTATTGGAGGAGCCGTAGTAAGGTAGTCTGGGTTCTGGAAGATAAAGAACGAAGCTCTGTTTGCTGGTATGAGAGACGGAATGAGCTAGTGGGGACGGTTTGTTTAAGTTGAAGACGGCATATCGAAGACAAGCGGGAAAAAGGGGACGATCAGGCGCGAGGTGGGAAAGACTGGCGATATAATAGTAGAGAGCTTATGTGAACAGTTGAACGACTCCAACAACTGAACTCCGAGCATCCACAGAACAAGGTGGTTGTGAGCTGTCTGATCTGTCTGGGTTCATCTCGTGTTTAATAATCTGTGTTATCCCGGCCGTTCCTGGACCTTCAAAACCTGATATCCTGGTTCTAGGTTGGCAGTCTCCTCGTCTTTTAAGTGGACGGTTGCAGCGGTGGATCGCGACCACACACGACCACACCACACAGTCCACACTCCAAGGAGCCATGGATTCCCAGGAACCGGGTGCCAAGCCCCTAACCTGGGAGGCCATGTCTTGCCCGCGTGCCCTTGGCTGACACTTTTGAGACTGACGGACGGGCCGCAATCGAGCTGATACCCATGAGATGTGCCTGGACCATCTCACATATACCCTCCTCAGGGCGAAAGATAGATGCCCATGCCTGCCATCCTGACCCGACACCTCATGGACTGCAGGTCTTGTGGTCAGCGGCTCAGCAGGTCTTTCGTTTGAGCCGGAGGATCACTGGTCACAGTCTGCGAAAGACGCAAGGGAAAGTTCGAGTTTTCTGCTGTCCTGCCGTCACGGCGAAGTCACCACATCCCCCGGCAATATTAGACTTCAAGGCACGCTTCCACTTGCTGCAGCCAAGAACGTCTCAGCCGTCCAAAAGCATGGCAATAACCGAAACCGTCTTGTGGAGATGAGATAGAGTATGTCTTGAGAGTCTTGACAAGTGTGCTTGTCGATGGCCGCGCTCCCAACCGTTTCGAAGCCTTTCTCTTGACAGACAATCATTTGCCAAAAGGACCTCCAGTTGTCCTACGGTAACACTGGCACACAGCGGGAGAGTCTGGGAAAGTGGTTGTGCGACGCGCCGTCAATATCCCACGCGAGCCAATCCCCTACAGCTGCGCCAACTTAGCCAAGGTTCCCGAGGTCATTTGCCTTGCTATCTCGCATAGGTATACATCAAGACATGAAGATACGGACTTTTATCGAGCAGAATCCCTCCAAGGCTGAGGCCGAGGCCGTGGCAGTTCGAGACGAGATGTGCGGACGCCTATCGACGCTATCGCGGCCGTCATTTCGATGCTTGCTGCACTGTAACCCCAACTGCCGCCTGTGACGGTTTGATGGTGCTTCATCTGGGTGTCTTGATGATACGCTATGATAGCTGTCCAACAAACTTCCGATCAAAACAAGCAGGATCTTGCTAGCAGCGGAAAGACATCGCGAAGAGAATACCAACAGAACGCGGTACATATCGTCGCCATGACTCGTTCCAATTTCTTGTTCCCGTCCTGCAACCACACCGATGGCATTTCATGAACCCGGAGCGGACTCCTCAGGGCTCGGGTCTCGAAGGGCTCGTGCGCCCCTGATGTTCAAAATGGCTACCGAACAACATCGAGATCTCGACAGCAACCTCCTTTCGCAACCCGGAATTCAAGCTACCCTTTCTCCTGCCAAGCCAGCCGTTCAGGCCGTCTATCCGAGACCTTCTGAAGTTCGTCTCATTCTGACGACTTGAGGTCCGTGTCTCTGGCGATCGATCTCTCGTACGCGATGGTTACGTGCACCAAGACGCGAAACGGTAAACCCCCCACCGAACGATGGATCTTTTAGCCCCTGCCGAAACCAGCCCTAGCCCATCGCGCCTAGACTTGCACCATCATCTCTCGGGTCCGGAGTAGCCTCATTTCAGCGGATACGACATACAGATTTGTATTTTGGCGACGCGGCCAACGACAATGTCAGTCATCTGCCCAGGCTTACAAGTCCGACGACTTACGTAAGGTACCAACTTGCGAGGCAGGATTCAGCCGGTGCTGCGCCGTCAGATATATCCCCTTGAGAGCAGTTGTGCTAATGAGGCGACTACCCTGGCTTGATCTCACCAGCGAGGCGGTACAGCCTGTTTCGACGGATCAAAGGGAGCGCTTGACCGTTGTGGCTTTCTAAATAAAGTGTCTTGTGCTCAGGGTCTCACTGGTGTGATAAGCGCCAAGTTCAAGGGCGCCTTTCTCGCTGCTTGCTTCTTGTTCCTGGATCTTGACTTGCGGCCCGGAAGGATGCCGTCGAGATTGCGCAGTCGCAATCAGCCGCCTTGGTTGTGGATGCCGATGAACGTCCAGGAAGCACTCACTAACTTGGCATCATTAGGGCTGAAAAACGATTCGTACATTCGCCTATAGGGTAGGTAGATGGGAAGTTGTGTAGCACGACACTTTTCTTCCTCAGCAGCAACCGTCATGCCATATTCTGGAAGCCTTCTCTCCTACTCCAAACGAGATCCGTCCAGATAGCGTCTGCAGCTATCCGATCGATGGCAATTTCGCCCCCTGACTGAAGGGAAACGCTCATTTACCTCTCGTGTAACACATGCATTTCCCTCATCCCACCGCCGTGTAACAACGCACTATCATCCTCGACCAGCCGTTGAGTGCCGATATGTGTCACGAGAAACGCTGCCAGACAGTGTCTCGCCGTGAGACTGGACTCCCGAGACCAGTCGTGTTCACGGCTTGCTGTACGATGCAGGTACGCAATTGTTACCATGACCATGGTGCAAGTGTTACGGATACGTCTTCCGCTCCGGATGGGGTTCCGTTTGGGAGGTGCCCTGTCATGAGCCTCGTGGTGCGAGGGCGGATGAGATGCGAGATGCGTCAACGTTGTTGATCGCTACCGTACCTTGAAGTGCACACGGGTCATGGTGCTCTGGTAGCCTGATTGCAAGACCGGTCTGTAACGACTCCACGACCGAAGACTGCTTTGGAGCCACAAGTGTTGATTCTTCAACGACCAAGCAAGACATCCCCGCCAGCTTCCGACCTGTTGTCTCTGCCTCCCCCCCCCCCCGCATCACCCTGTTCCGTCTCGGTGAAAGTCCTGTACAACTAAGCTGTCATGTCCATCCGTCTGCGTCTACCTGAGCTCATGACTCGCCCCAGAGTACCTCTCCGGCGTGATTCATGACCACGTAAAGCATCCGAGTCATACATCAACAACCACTCATCAAAGGCGGTGTGGCGCAATGGTAGCGTGTGGTCCTCCTACTTCCTCTCTCGTGAGGGTAAGAGTTCCCAGACTGAGGTTGCAGGTTCGAGTCCTGCCATCGTCGCTTTTTTGGCTGGCTGGGTGGGAAAACTGTTTGGTGGTTCGTGTGGGGGTCGCCTGAGCCGAGACATGTGAGGATGGTTGGTGATTTTTGGTGCCGTCGCTACGGGAGGCGCATCAAGGAGCAGGCTTGCGGTAGCCGTCAATGCGTGTCGAGTGTCGAGTGCTGATACCTTGGAGGACGCAGAGGGAGTGCTGGAATCTCGAGCGTGACACCTCGAACATTGATGGTGGGCGGGTTGGGAGACCTACATCTGTGATGACCTCTCGCTTTGCGGACCACAATCACCACTCGGAGAGCCGCGGAAAGAAGACGTGGGAGCCATCTTAAAGACAATTGCATTGCAGCCTTGTCAGGAGGTCTCCTCGCCGCAGTTCAGCTTGGCCTCAGTCTCCGGACGTTGGCTAGGCGTGTGGAACGATTGAATAAATAGAGAATAAGGTAAGGAATGACCGAAGCTGAACTGTCAAAAACATTTTGCGAAAACGTTGCTTCCACATCATCAATATGTCGAGGAGTCAAAAAGTAAAGAATGCGAGACCAGAACAAAGCAAAAGAAGAACTCGGATACGGGGAGTCGAACCCCGGGCTGATGAGTGAGAGTCATCGATGTTACCGCTACACCATACCCGATTATTGATCGAATGTGGTTCCGACGTTGGATGAAAGATGGGTCGCTAAGCTGAACTATCAACCATAAGTTTCCTTCCGTCGGAGCTCCTGACTCAGCCCTTCCTCTGTCTCTCTGACTTCCGTTCGAGAGTGGGATATGCCCAGGGGAAGAGTTTGAGTCAGAGAGAGTGAGTCGAAGAACTCGATTCGGACAAGGTGCTCAAGAGCTTGACAGATACGCCACGAGACCGCAGACAACAGCTTCCGGGCCTCAACGACATTCCATATCACTCGCCAAGCAGCCCGTCTTTCGCCTCTGTTTTGGTCGCGAAGGGTTCATCATCCTACAGTCACCGGTCGTGATCATCGGTGCTACAAGTTGCAAATCAACCCGAACTCTAAGCCGGCCGCTTCGGGACAAGCCTGACAAGCTGGCCCATTGTCGCCTATGACCGACGACGGACATAGCGGAAGCTGGTGGAGTTTTGCGCTGTCACAACAAGCGATGATCAGAGGAACCCTGAATTGCTCGCGACTGCAACTTTCAGCGTCAGGAGCGTCATCAGGGTGCATTCCAGCGCGTCGATCAACAGCAGATAACCGACACTTGTCTCTTGTCAATCCGCGACCGCCACATCATTTCGCAACCCCGCAACGCCAACCGCACGGCGGATGTGAATCCGGGGAAGCGATCTGTGACATGTATGTATGTCTCAACCAACAACCCTGTCGAGAAGAGGTTATTGGCAACGGAAAAAGTTGTTGGGGGCAAAACTGTTGAAAGGCAAGTTCGAAATGTGGTCGTCTGACCTCCTGCCCTATCCATTCTTGCCGACGCCCGCAGGACGGAGGACGAGCCTGACGTGTTCGATTGCCCAATTACAGTGACGATATGCGGCATACTTGTCGTCTCCTACTGCAAGGTGAGAAAAAGAGGCGTTCCAGGAGGGAAAGCTGAGCGAGTCTGGCGAAGAACCGGTCTGGTTGCACGGACGGGGCACGAGTGAGAAGTGCGGGGGGGGGGGTGGTGGGCGAGGAGGTTGCATCCGGCCGGGCACCGAAGAGGCGGTCTAGAAATGGTTGAACTTCTCGGAGGGGGGAGGCGGGAGATGTGCACGACGGACAGGCCGCAGATGCACCAGGAGGGCACGCAATCACGAGAGGAGATGTCCCTGCGAGGGGGCAAAAGTTTGTGTGTTTGTGTTGTGTTGCGATGGTGACCTCTGTGATGTTCTCGCTGAGGGAATAAGAAGGTCTCGAAGGAGCAATTGTAGGATGTGAGAGAGGTGACAAGTCTCACCACGAAGGGTGGTCAAAAGTCGAAGATGGCTCTCTTCTCGCGATGGTGCAACCCTCGGGAGTGGGGGTTGCATGCCGATGAGTGGTCGGAAACCAGCCGAACACCCCGCGCGTGGGAGTGAAGCAAACAACCCGATCACCAGTGTCGGTCTGGAAGCTTGACAGATGTCGGCGTTGCCCGAGTTCTTCGTTCTGTCGTCTTCCGTCACAGGTGGTGGGGCCGGAGGAAGATAGATACATAGTAGATCCGCGATGGCGTGGTGTGCGAGCGAAAAACATGGCAATGCCTGTCCCAGTATTCGTAGACCAGTAGACGCCTCGACAGCCACAGGAGCGGCACGTTGTTCACGTTGTCGCCGATTGCCACATGTTCGAAAGCCTGTGGCTTGATGGGCTGATATGGTCGCTAGTTGCAACGTTTCTCGTAACCGGCGCGACTGAGCCTTTCAGCGTCCCGTTCCGCTGTCTCCTGTTGTTGGGCGGCTCAGCAACAGTGGCTCGGTGCCCGTAAAACTGCTTGCCACTGCGCCGTATTTTGGGAATACAGCAGGTCGTCATCCCACTATGAAGCCTCGAAATAGAGATGTCGAGATGTGCACCAGATCCAGGGACTTCAAGAAGGATCGGTCCCTGAAAACAGTCCGATTTCCATCTCGTAAAACATGGGATGCTGATTGCTTAATCCGAAGGAGCATATCAAGTGACATCTAAATTCCAGGTTGTTGTCCTCTGTGGCTGGCATTGCGGTGTGGTTAACTAACAAACCGGTACACTTCCTGCTTCCCCGGGCGGACCTACTAGACTCTAGCGGATGAGATGGCGGTGTCGACACATCCTAGGGTCCTTTCTGGAAGGCACAACAACTTGTAGTAGACACACTGGTCTTCCATGTGTTGACTCTGTGATGCCAGAGACAACTGATATGTCCTCACTTACAGTTGTCGACTATGTTTGACAAGTGTTTTCGGAGTTTGCTGCTTTCGACCGTCGTGTTCGAAAGGCACAATGATGTCAGCCACTGCGATACCGCTCTCGCTTGCCGTGCAGTTGCGGTCCCAGTGCTGCTCCTCCAAGGGGGGGGCGGATTGCATCAATCAGCAGCAAGTCAATTGGTGAATAAGAACCGTTTGGCTTGAGATTATGTACTTCTGGGTGCTCTACCGTACTAGAGAGACTTACACGGTGCAAATCCCACTAGTTCTTCGCTTATACTCCGTGCACACAAGCTAGCCACACAGTCCCGCGACAAATCGGGACAAAGCCAGGAAAGCCATGGCATTCCATCCCACCTCAGCCAGGACCCCTTGTTGCCCGCTACCACTGGAATTGTGTTGGTGGGTTGGCTCCAGACCTTGTGACCGCCTTCGTACTTCGTTCGCGCCTTCACTTCAACTCCCCACCGCCCACTGCTGGCGTCTGCGATATCTCTCCCTCTCCTTTCTCCCTTCCCCCATAACAAAAAGTCTCGAGTTCTGGTTATACAGGACTCTCTTCCCCTCTTATCGTGTTCCCTTTTCTTTCCTTTCAGGTGTTCTGCAGCTTTTAACATAGCCTTGCAACAGCAGCAGTGTACCTACTTCGTGTTTCCTCGGGAGTTGCACGACAGAGCCCATCTTACGGAATCCCGAGCCCTCCAGTGTTATACTCTGTGTTCTGTCCCCCCCTTCTTTCTTTGAAGGCTTCTTTCTTCTAGAATACGACCCTTTTAATACCTACTGGTCCTTCTGCAACAGCCACGCAACGCTGTCTTCTGCCGGTTGCGCGTTCTTTGTCAGGACTTGTCCTTCAGAGCACAAGAGAGAAAAAAGAGACCACAAGACCTCTCTCACATCAGCACCTTGGCAGCCGACATTGTGTCACTGCTCCCTACACTCGTTCATCCGCCGCTTACCCACCGCCACGACACCATAAGACCTCAGCATATCCCCTTTGTTCATAAGACACTCAAGAGGCAGATGCAACGACATTAGAAATAACTTCCTCAACTCCGTAGCCCAATGGCTAAGCCAACGACCTCAATCCCAGAGCAGCCGCGTCTGCCCCGGTTCGCCCCGGTCCCCATCGAGACCACCTTCGAGCAGTACCGCAAGCCTGGACCCGTCCCAGAGCCTACACCCAGTCCCTCGCCTCGCTCAGAGTCTCCTCCGCCAAAGGACGACTATTATGTCGAACCCAGAGGGCATCGCGAGAAGCGCGAGAAGCGCAGATTCGCTCCCCAACTAGTCGAGTCGTCAGTCCGTCGCTCACGGAGGGCCGGCGACGAGGGCCCGGCTACCAGACCTACCGACAAGACCGACATTACCCCCTATACAAACCATATATACGCCCCGAAGGCCAGGAGACGACATGGCCGCAGCAGGCTGGACGAGGAGCGCAGGGCCGCCCTGGCTAGGAGGGAGTCGCAAGATGACGAAGTAGCGGGCGGTGTATTTGAGCGCTCCGCCAGGGAGGCACAGAGGAAGGTGAATGAAGAAAAGATCCAGGAACTGGCGCTGAGTGCGTTCCCCAACAGCGGGCTACGGATTGGAGGTGCAGAGCACTATGTCATGGGCGAGGGCTCGGAGGACGACAGCATACCGTCCCGCGGCAGGACCACCGTCCGGTTCCAGACCCCCTACAAGCCGTCACGGCGCAACTCTTCCGAGGAGGACATCAGCTGGGCCTTCAGGGAGATGCAGGAGCATGCTTCCAGAGTCCGGGCACGTTCGCACCACGCCTTGGAACGCATCTCGACACTGGACCTGGACAACATGAGCATCGACAGCCCGCCTAGTGATGCAATGGGCCTCACTCGCAACCAGAGACAGTCCATGTCCGGTTCGCCCTCCTGGTCTCGACGCCGTTCGAGTTCGCTCGACATAATAGGAGAGCACACCATGCCCTACATCCCCTCCGAGTCACCGCTGCCCACGATTGGCGAGCACCACATGCCCTACGTAGCACCCGAGTCCCCCGCCTTCCGACCAATAGGCGAGAGCTTCATGCCCTACATCCCCTCCGCACCCCCCGGCGCAGCAGGCAACATGCCATACCAGCCGGCCTCGCACCTTCCGGCCGAGACCGACTTCCGCACCGCAGGCCACTCGCCCGCG